AGTTTGATAAAGTCTTAATAGCTTGAGTTTATTAGGCCCTTACACCAACAAGCTGGTATCAGAGCTGCGTTATAGTGATCCTCGTTATAGGTAGCTATGGCGGGGAACACCTCGGCGGTAGCTGGTGAATCTTCAGCCCAAGATCGTAGCGGCCGCCATGATTCTTGTGTTTCTGCGCCAAGGGGAGCGCGAACAAGCCAGGGCTCGCTGATCAAGGAGGTGCTGAAAAACTTCACCGTCGAGAAGTTCAATGGTGAGGGCTATGATGATTGGGTCTGGAAAATGCAACTTTATTTCCGTCAGATCGGATTGCTGAAACTAATGATTGGGGAGGAGCCTAGACCGAGTGACCCCGCCTTTCAGGAAGATTGGGACGAGCGCGCCTCGGCTGGCTACTACTTGATGTCGCAGAGTTTGGAGCTGAACCAGCGTCACCACGTCATGCACCTGCTGCCGGAGGTTGAGTGCGGTCCGAAGGCGTGGACCGTGTTGAAGGAGCTGCACGCCCCTACCTCCGTCGCTGCGACGCTCATGATGGAGAGGGAGCTGTCCGCGTTGCGCCTAAGCGAGGGAGAGCCGGTACAACCCATCCTGGACAAGATGCGTGATCTCTACGCGAAGCTGGCGGTTGCGGGAATCACCTACCCGAAGCAGACCAAGTGCCTGAAGATGCTCTCGCTGCTGCCCGAATCGTGGCTTCAATTCACGAGCGGATTGAGCCTGCCGCAGAACCAGAGCTTGTGGACGCTCGAGTGGGTGCGGACGAAGATTCTGGAGGAGGACTTCCGTCGCCGCCAACTGAGGGGTGGAGACGACGGCAGCAGCGGCTACGGGATGCAAGGGAGCCGACGTGGCAAAGGACGTGGCTTTGGTGGTGCTGGACGCGGTGCAAAGAAAGACGACGACTCCAACGACCAACAAGGAGGTACCGGTTGGGGTCGCGGTGCGAAATCTGGACGTGGGGGCAAGTCGGGTGCTGGTGGCAAAATGAAAGGGAGTTGCTGGTATTGTAAGAAGGAAGGGCACCCCTGGTTTTTGTGCTATAAGAAACCCGATGGATGGACCCCCCAGAATCGTCACCAGGATGGCGGCGCGCGGAGGAACCAGAAAAACGGCGCCAACATGGTCGCTGATTCGTCCGACAACAACCCGAAGGGCAACGGTGGTGCGGAAAAGAAGAAGGAGCGCACCGCGGGCCAATTCTTCCATGTGGGAGACAAGGGGGAGCAAGGAGACGCATCTGCTAAGGCTGGAGCAGAGCTGCACCCCCTAGACTATTGGGTGTTGGACACAGGCGCTGCTTGGACAATGACGCCGCGCAAGGACCTGCAGGACGACGTACGCGCTGCACCGATTAATGAGGTGTGCTCTGCCTCTGGACACATGTTGAAGGTGGCTGGTGCGGGACCAGCTGCGTTTAAGGGAGCGGATGGCAAGCCGGTGGTGCTGCACGATGTTCTCCTCGTCCCCGACCTGAAGGCCAACCTTATCTCCCTCCGTAAGCTTGGCAAGGCTGGGGTGAACACCAACACGGATGGGGCTCGCACTTATAAAGGGAAGCTGGGCAATCGGGTGGTTTGGGATCTGCTGAGAGCAAGGGATGGGTGCTGTGGGAGCCTTCGAAGGGTGTGTTGTTTGACAGCAGGGAAGTGAAGTTTGTTGAGGGCATGATGTATGGGAGCTGGGAGAAACAGCCGGAGGCCAGGGTGTCCCAGCAGATGGAGCAGATCACCATGCAGCTGGACCTGACTCCTAGTGTGTGGGAGGAGGGAGAGGAGGCAGCTGCAGAGGGTGGTGATGGAAAGAAGGTGCAGGAGGCACCTGCTGGTGGAGGTGATGGTGTGGAGACTAGCGGTAGCACTAGTGGAGCTGCTGGATCCGAGGGAGGAGAGCAGAAGCAGGGAAAAACTAAGAAGCCGAAGGGTGTGGTTATGAAGGGATGGGAGACACCCGTCTCCAGGTGAGGACGTACCCGTATGGCTACTAAGACGCTGACTGCAGGAGCTGATGTAGCGGAGCAGCAGCTTGGGACCGAGGAGGCATTGCTGATTCTACCGCATGGCTATGATCCGGATGAGGAGGATGAACCTGCCTACTGTTTTCTTGCCCCTGCACCAGAGGAACCAGCTAGCATGGAGGAGGCATTAGCTGGACCAGATAGGGACAAATGGCTAGCTTCTAGGGATGCTGAGTACCAGAGCCTGCTGGAGAATGGGACTTGGGAACTAGTAGTGCTGCCTGAGGGGAAGAAAGCCGTACAGTACAAGTGGGTGCTAAGGATCAAGACCGATGACAAGGGACAGGTCACCATCTACAAGAGTAGGTTGGTGGCTAAGGGGTTTATGCAGAAGGAGAAGCGGGACTTCAATGAGATCTTTGCTCCCACTGCCAAACCCCCTACCCTCCGTGTCTTGTTGGCAGATGCAACCGTTAGTGGGAAATTCATCATTCAGATAGATATATCAACGGCATTCCTCAATGGGATTTTAGAGGAGGATGTGTACATGACGCAGCCACCTGGGTATGAGGATGGTACGGGCAGGGTGTGCAAGCTGAAAAAGTCCATCTACGGCTTGAAGCAGGCGCCACGCTGCTGGTACCAGAAGTTGGCAGCTGTTTTAGAGGAGATGGGATTCAGGACCAGCAGCTGTGATGAGAGCCTCTTTCTCAAGGGGGAGGGGGAGAAGCTGGTGCTGTTTCTGGTCTATGTGGACGACATTCTTCTCTTTAGCAGCAGCATGAAGGAGATCCAGAAGGTGCAGCAGCAGCTGATGGAGAACTTCAAGTGCAAGAACCTTGGGGAGGTAAAGTACTACCTCGGGATGCACGTGGAGAGGGATCTGGATCACAGGTGGTTGAAGCTGCACCAGGAGAAGTTCATCAAGGAGCTTGGGGAGAAGTACGGGATTGAGAATGAGCGCAAGGTTTCAACTCCCCTGCCAGCAGAATTCAAGCTTGTGAAAGCTGCAGAGGATGAAGGGGTTGAAGCCGAGGAGCAGCAGCAATTTCAGTCCTTGGTGGGCAGCCTCTTGTATGCAGCAGTTCACACGAGGCCCGACATCTCTTTCTCGGTTGGGCAGCTGGCTAGGGTGGTGCAGAATCCATCAGAGGAGCAGGTGGATGCAGCTGAGCGTGTGGTGAAGTATCTAAACTCTCACCCAAGCGTTGGAGTTCAATACTCCGCATCTGCACAGGTGAAGCAGAAAGGGGTTGAGGTGCTGAAAGAGAAGGGGGAGAGGCTTGGAGAAGGCAAGCTTTTCCTCACTTGCTTTACCGATGCTACGTGGGCCTCTGAGAAGGAAGATTCCTCATCTGTGGGAGGATACATCTGCGTAGTTGGGGGAGGACGGGTTAGTTGGAGGTCAAAGAAGCAGACGGAGACAGCACTCTCGTCCGTGGATTCAGAGTACATGGCAATGTTTCATGGGGTGAAGGAGGTAATTTGGCTGAGGAGGCTGTTAGAGGAGATTGGCCAGGAGCAAAAGGTTGCTACGCCGCTGTTTTGTGATAGCAAGGGAGCTCTTGGGATGGCCAGGAACGTTGTGCCTCATGGGCTCAATAAGCACATGCGTATCAAGTGGCACTGGCTGCGTAAGGAGGTGAAGAGGGGGACGGTGAATCCGATCTACATCAAGACTCACCAGCAGCCAGCAGACTTCCTCACCAAGAGGCTTGCGGATGAGCCTCATTGGCGTTGTGTGCGCATGAGTGGAATGAGCATGAACTAGTATGGAATGATGGGGATGCAGCCGGCATGCTGAGGGGGAGTGTGTTGGGTGCAAATTCACATTGCACGACATCCTGCCGTCTGTTTGTACGAGTATGCGTGTGCGAATGCATTTGCGTGTGAATGGTATGTTCGTGTGTTTGTTTGCTTTCGCAATTTTCGCTTGAAGCATTTGCAGGTACTCGCACAATGTGCGCTTCGGCATAACATTGTACGCGCTATGAACAGTACAAGCAGAAAGGACGAGCTCGCAAAGGAACCCAAGATGGAAGCTTTGCGGTTCGGCTTACTTGATTGCGCAGATTCAGTTCTATCCAACTCGAAATTGTACTGTTTTGTTTGGTTGACTATAGTGTAGCAGGGCAGGCACTATAGGGGTACAATTTAGGTGAAGGTTGGATGTTGTTTGTCTGTATCTGCATGCTACAGGGCCAGGGGAAACCAGCGGAACCAGCATTTGGCTGGTTGGGCAAAGACAAAACAGGTTCTGTTTTTAGGACCTGAACCTGGTTGTTGTTTTCCCAGGTTGGAAAAACAGAACCAGAGGTTGTTCACCAACCTACCACCTGCTATTTTGTCCAGCCAGGTTGGTTCTGTTGCTTGGAATTATTTGGGATCATCCCTGGTTGTTCCCAGGTTGATTCCCAAGGTCCTTGCTAGCTAGAGCTATTTATTCCTTCTCTGTTTGTACCTGAACATAGTAAAATTGATTCAAGCGAATTCCTCCCTTCCTGGAATTTCGTTTCTACGCGGTGCGACGGCGGAATGCTACCCGAGTCAACGCTAGTACGCTAGCACTCCAACGCTAGGCTAACGCTGTCCGAGCCATAACTTCGTAATGGCAGAACTTTTCGCGAGGCAACTTAGCTTATTTTAAAGCTCTTAGAGTGAGCTTCGATATAGTATATTCTCAGCTTAATCCGATCTACGGTCTGCACGAAACGCTGCGCGACGTTCAAGGTACTCTTGTTGTTTTGACAAAGTCCCTCTTGATCCCTCTCTCTACAAACTCGGACCCGAGGATAGGGGCTGGTCTTGTACCAGGCACCCAAGGACCCTTGGAGGTGACCCCGAGGAGAGGTTTTAAGTTTGATAAAGTCTTAATAGCTTGAGTTTATTAGGCCCTTACACGAATAAAGCAGACATCTAAGGCTAACTGCTGTCCAAGTTTCAGCCTCATGTGTTATCGGAGCTGATCGTGACGGCGTTTTGAACAGAGGCGGTTTGAAGACGTCAGATTCTGCTTAGGCGGTTTCATGGGCATCCGCGACCTCTAAGTGGACTCTTGACTAAAACACTGAGGAGGCGCAGTAGTCAGTGTGTACAAACTCGACCTAGGCGGACGTGTTATTGAGGCCAGGTGGCTACCGGTCCGAGAGCACGTACAGAACGCCACACGCTGCCATCCAAGGGTGAAGATGTCAACCCCCGCATCCTTGAGGGCAGCTGTGCTCACCAAGTTCGTAGAGAACGAGGGGAGGAGGAGACCTGACAATGACCAAGACGGAACCGCCGGACAGGGTAGAACAGTGGAGGAACGTGCAAGGACTGGGCCCCCAGAGGGGTCAGCCAACGACACAGCAACAGGTGCAGTGAGCGGTGTGACTGTGGTACTGTTGCGAAAGAGACAGCAGGAAGCACCTGAGTCAAGTGTGAAGGTGTGTAGGGCCGCAGCAGACGCAGTACCAAAGAGAGCAGACTCACCAGCACCTAGGGCAGCAGACTCACTAGCACCTAGAGCAGCAGCCTCTATACCTGGGTCTGGCGGCAGACACAGGTAACAATCACCCTCATCACCAATAGTCAATGCATACATGGCAGATAGGATAGCATCAAAGTCTAGAGCAAAGATATCAACATTCTGCCTAAGCAGCGCCGCCCAGTCGGGAAGCTTAGGTGCATAAGGAAACTCTGCGCGAAAGGCGTCGGTAAGGCGGTTGAAGCAGCGGTGCTGAGTGTGAGACCACTCGTATGTTTGACCTGTGCGAATAACATACGGGCAGGGACCACTACCCCCAGTCCTCCCACGCTGAGCAAACCACTCACGGAGCTCCTGGGACGAAAGGGGCTGACGTTGCTGCTGCTGCTGGCCACCTCCAAGGCCTCCCCTCTGGCTGGTGCCACCCCTGCCACCCCCACTGCTGCCGCCTCCACCCCCACCGCTGCCGCCTCCACCCCCACTGCCGCCACTACCGCCGCCACCACCACTACCTCCACCACTCCCACTGCCGCCACTACCGCCGCCACCTGCCCCGCCGCCCCCACCACCACTTCCTCCTCCACCGCCGCCCCCACTACCGCCTCCACCGCCCCCACCACCGCCTCCACATTTGCCACCCCCACCGCTCCTGCCCTTCCAGCCCCTGCCGCTGCGGCGCCTCCCACTACTGGCAGACGCAGCTCCTACCTCCTCAGCACGAAGGTAGTCAACAGCTGCAGCAGAGGCGACTGAGGGGAGAAGGGGGGAGGGCGAACACCCCTCAAAGAAGGGGGTGCGAGGAGTGCCACGAGAAGCGCCTACAGCAACTATGCTAGTCCCAGCTGTTAGGAGGTGCTTCTTGAGCAGGTCGACATGTTGGTGTAAGGGCCTAATAAACTCAAGCTATTAAGACTTTATCAAACTTAAAACCTCTCCTCGGGGTCACCTCCAAGGGTCCTTGGGTGCCTGGTACAAGACCAGCCCCTATCTTCGGGTCCGAGTTTGTAGAGAGAGGGATCAAGAGGGACTTAGTCAAAACAGCAAGAGTACCTTGAACGTTGCGCAGCGTATTGTGCAGACCGTTGATCGGATTAAGCTGAGAATTTACTATATCGAAGCTCACTCTAAGAGCTTTAAAATAAGCCAAGTTGCCTCGCGAAAAGTTTTGCCATTACGAAGTTATGGCTCGGACAGCGTTTGCCTAGCGTTGGAGTGCTAGCGTACTAGCGTTGACTCGGGTAGCATTCCGCCGTTGCACCGCGTAGAAACGAAATTCCAGGAAGGGAGGAATTCGCTTGAATCAATTTCACTATATTCAGGTACAAACAGAGAAGGAATAAATAGCTCTAGCTAGCAAGGACCTTGGGAATCAACCTGGGAACAACCAGGGATGATCCAAAATAATTCCAAGCAACAGAACCAACCTGGCTGGACAAAATAGCAGGTGGTAGGTTGGTGAACAACCTCTGGTTCTGTTTTTCCAACCTGGGAAAACAACAACCAGGTTTTGGTCCTAAAAACATAACCTGTTTTGTCTTTGCCCAACCAGCCAAATGCTGGTTCCGCTGGTTTCCCCTAGCCCTGTAGCATGCAGATACAGACAAACAACATCCAACCTTCACCTAAATTGTACCCCTATAGTGCCTGCCCTGCTACATTATAGTCAACCAAACAAAACAGTACAATTTCGAGTTGGATAGAACTGAATCTGCGCAATCAAGTAAGTTGAACCGCAAAGCTTCCATCTTGGGTTCCTTTGCGAGCTCGTCCTTTCTGCTTGTTCTGTTCATAGCGCGTACAATGTTATGCCGAAGCGCACATTGTGCGAGTACCTGCAAATGCTTCAAGCGAAAATTGCGAAAGCAAACAAACACACGAACATACCATTCACACGCGAATGCATTCGCACACGCATACTCGTACAAACAGACGGCAGGATGTCGTGCAATGTGAATTTGCACCCAACACACTCCCCCTCAGCCTGCCGGCTGCATCCCCATCATTCCATACTAGTTCATGCTCATTCCACTCATGCGCACACAAAGCCAATGAGGCTCATCCGCAAGCCTCTTGGTGAGGAAGTCTGCTGGCTGCTGGTGAGTCTTGATGTAGATCGGATTCACCGTCCCCCTCTTCACCTCCTTACGTAGCCAGTGCCACTTGATACGCATGTGCTTATTGAGCCCATGAAGCACAGCGTTCCTGGCCATCCCAAGAGCTCCCTTGCTATCACAAAACAGCGGCGTAGCAACCTTTTGCTCCTGGCCAATCTCCTCCAACAGCCTCCTCAGCCAAATCACCTCCTTCACCCCATGAAACATTGCCATGTACTCTGACTCCACGGAAGAGAGTGCTGTCTCGGTCTCCTTCTTTGACCTCCAACTAACCGGTCCTCCCCAACTACGCAGATGTATCCTCCCACAGATGAGGAATCCTCCTTCTCAGAGGCCCACGTAGCATCGGTAAAGCAAGTGAGAAAAAGCTTGCCTTCTCCAAGCCTCTCCCCTTTCTCTTTCAGCACCTCAACCCCTTTCTGCTTCACCTGTGCAGATGCGGAGTATTGAACTCCAACGCTTGGGTGAGAGTTCAGATACTTCACCACACGCTCAGCTGCATCCACCTGCTCCTCTGATGGATTCTGCACCACCCTAGCAAGCTGCCCAACCGAGAAAGAGATGTCGGGCCTCGTGTGAACTGCTGCATACAAGAGGCTGTACACCAAGGACTGAAATTGGTGCTGCTCCTCGGCTTCAACCCCTTCATCATCTGCAGCTTTCACAAGCTTGAATTCTGCTGGCAGGGGAGTTGCAACCTTGCGCTCATTCTCAATTCCGTACTTCTCCCCAAGCTCCTTGATGAACTTCTCCTAGTGCAGCTTCAACCACCTGTGATCCAGATCCCTCTCCACGTGCATCCCGAGGTAGTACTTTACCTCCCCAAGGTTCTTGCACTTGAAGTTCTCCATCAGCTGCTGCTGCACCTTCTGGATCTCCTTCATGCTGCTGCTAAAGAGAAGAATGTCGTCCACATAGACCAGAAACAGCACCAGCTTCTCCCCCTCCCCCTTGAGAAAGAGGCTCTCATCACAGCTGCTGGTCCTGAATCCCATCTCCTCTAAAACAGCTGCCAACTTCTGGTACCAGCAGCGTGGCGCCTGCTTCAAGCCATAGATGGACTTTTTCAGCTTGCACACCCTGCCCGTACCATCCTCGTACCCAGGTGGCTGCGTCATGAACACCTCCTCCTCTAAAATCCCGTTGAGAAATGCCGTTGATATGTCCATCTGGATAATAAACTTCCCACCAACGGCTGCATCTGCCAACAAGACACGAAGGGTAGGGGGTTTGGCAGTGGGAGCAAAGATCTCATTGAAGTCCCGCTTCTCCTTCTGCATAAACCCCTTAGCCACCAACCTACTCTTGTAGATGGTGACCTGCCCCTTGTCGTCAGTCTTGATCCTTAGCACCCACTTGCATTGTACCGCTTTCTTTCCCTCAGGCAGCACCACTAGTTCCCAAGTCCCATTCCCGAGCAGGCTCTGGTACTCAGCATCCCTAGAAGCTAGCCATTTGTCCCTATCTGGTCCAGCTAATGCCTCCTCCATGCTAGCTGGTTCCTCTGGTGCAGGGGCAAGAAAACAGTACGCAGGTTCATCCTCCTCATCCGGGTCATAGCCATGCGGTAGAATCAGCAATGCCTCCTCAGTCCCAAGCTGCTGCTCCGCTACATCAGCTCCTGCAGTCAGCTTCTTAGTAGCCATACGGGTACGTCCTGGCCTGGAGACGGGTGTCTCCCATCCCTTCATAACGACACCCTTCGGCTTCTTAGCTTTCCCCTGCTGCTGCTCTTTCCCCTCAGATCCAGCAGCTCCACTAGTGCCAGTCTCCACATCATTTTCTCCACCAGCAGGTGCCTCCTGTACCTTCTTTCTATCACCACCCTCTGCAGCTGCCTCCTCTCCCTCCTCCCACACACTAGGAGTCAGGTCCAGCTGCATGGTGATCTGCTCCATTTGCTGGGACACCCTGGCCTCCGGCTGTTTCTCCCAGCTCCCATACATCATGCCCTCAACAAACTTCACATCCCTGCTGTCAAACAACACACCCTTGGAAGGCTCCCACAGCAGCCATCCCTTGCTCTCAGCAGCCAGCCCCAAATGCACACACCAGATTGCACTCGCCCCCAACTTACTGCGGTAGGTCTTGGGGACGTGGGCGACTGCCATGCAACCGAACACCCTCAGCATGTCCACCGGCGGCTTCCTCCCAAGCCACCTCTCCAACGGCACCCACGAGTCATCCCCAACCTTTGTGAGTACCCTGTTTCTAGCGACGGTAGCGTGCCGAACAGCATGGGGCCACATCAAGTTGCCCAGCCCAGATTCTATGAGCAGCGCCCTAGCTGTCTCCAGAATTGTCCGGTTCGCCCGTTCTGCTACACCGTTGGACTGTGGGGTGTAAGCCGTGGTCAGCTCCCTCTGGATGCCCTGCTTCTTGAGCCAGGCCGTCATCTCAGCTCCAAGGAACTCGCCACCCCGATCTGTCCTAATCCGCTTCACGACACACTCCGCTTGCTTCTCCACGAACGGCAGCCAATCGTCCCGAATCGTGGAGGCGGCGTGATCTTTCTGCTTCAGTGGATACGCCCACATTAGCCTGCTCCAGTCATCCACTATGGTTAGGAAGTACTGCTCCCCCTTGTGCCCTTGCACCGGCAGCGGCCCCACCAAGTCCATGTGGACCAGCTCCAACGGCTTTTTGCTCCTGCCAGCCACACTATGGAAGGGGAAACGGGTGAACTTTGAAAGGAGGCAAATTTCACAGTTATCATCGGGTGGTTGTCCGTTCAGCTTCAAGCCCTTAACGGCTCCATCCTTCTCTAGCTGCTTCAACAAAGGCATTGCCACATGCCCCAAACGTCGGTGTGCAGTTGCCCAATCCGTCTCCCCAGATCTGGCCGACACTTTCACACCAACCCCTCCAACGGCGTTGCACTCCCCCTGGGATGCAGACCCCTCTCTAGCCTGACCCCCACCGTGCCACGCCAGCGCCGGCAGCTGCCACATAGATCTGTACACGTCCTTGCTCTCGTGCAGATCCCAAAGCACCCGACTGCCCAGCTTCCCCTTATAAGTGCGTGCCCCATCCGTGCTAGTGCTCACCCCAGACTTGCCAAGCTTACGGAGGGAGATGAGGTTGGCCTTGAGTTCAGGAACAAGAAGAACGTCGCGCAGCACCACCGGCTTGCCATCCGCTCCCTTCAACGCAGCTCGTCCCGCACCAGCCACCTTCAACATGTGTCCAGAGGCAGAGCACACCTCATTAATCGGTACAGCGCGTACGTCGTCCAGCAGGTCCTTGCGCGGCGTCATTGTCCAAGCAGCGCCTGTGTCCAACACCCAATAGTCCAAGGGGTGCAGCTCTGCTCCAACCTTAGCAGATGCGTCTCCTTGCTCCCCCTTGTCTCCCACATGGAAGAATTGGCCCGCGGTGCGCTCCTTCTTCTTCTCCGCACCGCCGTTGCCCTTCGAGTTGTTGTCGGACAAATCAGCGACCATGTTGGCGCCGTTTTTCTGGTTCCTCCGCGCGCCGCCATGCTGGTGACGATTCTGGGGGGTCCATCCATCGGGTTTCTTATAGCACAAAAACCAGGGGTGCCCTTCCTTCTCACAATACCAGCAACTCCCTTTCATTTTGCCACCAGCACCCGACTTGCCCCCACGTCCAGATTTCGCACCGCGACCCCAACCGGTACCTCCTTGTTGGTCGTTGGAGTCGTCGTCTTTCTTTGCACCGCGTCCAGCACCACCGAAGCCACGTCCTTTACCACGTCGGCTCCCTTGCATCCCGTAGCCGCTGCTGACGGCGTCTCCACCCCTCAGTTGGCGGCGACGGAAGTCCTCCTCCAGAATCTTCGTCCGCACCCACTCGAGCGTCCACAAGCTCTGGTTCTGCGGCAGGCTCAATCCGCTCGTGAATTGAAGCCACGATTCCGGCAGCAGCAAGAGCATCTTCAGGCACTTGGTCTGCTCCGGGTAGGTGATTCCCGCGGTCACCAACTTCGCGTAGAGATCAAGCATCTTGTCCAGGATGGGTTGCACCGGCTCTCCCTCGCTTAGGCGCAACGCGGAAAGCTCCCTCTCCATCATGAGCGCCGCAGCGACGGAGGTAGGGGCGTGCAGCTCCTTCAACACCGTCCACGCCTTCGGACCGCACTCAACCTCCGGCAGCAGGTGCATGACGTGGTGACGCTGGTTCAGCTCCAAACTCTGCGACATCAAGTAGTAGCCAGCCGAGGCGCGCTCGTCCCAATCTTCCTGAAGGGCGGGGTCACTCGGTCTAGGCTCCTCCCCAATCATTAGTTTCAGCAATCCGATCTGACGGAAATAAAGTTGCATTTTCCAGGCCCAATCATCATAGCCCTCATCATTGAACTTCTCGACGGTGAAGTTTTTCAGCACCTCCTTGATCAGCGAGCCCTGACTTGTTCGCGCTCCCCTTGGCGCAGAAACACCAGAATCATGGCTGCTGCTACGATCTTGAGCTGAAGATTCACCAGCTACCGCCGAGGTGTTGCCCGCCATAGCTACCTATAACGAGGATCACTATAACGCAGCTCTGATACCAGCTTGTTGGTGTAAAGGCCTAATAAACTCAAGCTATTAAGACTTTATCAAACTTAAAACCTCTCCTCGGGGTCACCTCCAAGGGTCCTTGGGTGCCTGGTACAAGACCAGCCCCTATCCTCGGGTCCGAGTTTGTAGAGAGAGGGATCAAGAGGGACTTAGTCAAAACAGCAAGAGTACCTTGAACGTTGCGCAGCGTATCGTGCAGACCGTAAATTGGATTAAGCTGAGAATTTACTAAATCGAAGCTCACTCTAAGAGCTTTAAAATAAGCCAAGTTGCCTCGCGAA